TATCCTATTCAAAATGAGTCCACAATTTGGTAAAACCGCCTCTTTATAATGATCTATTAACAACTTATCCTATTCAAAATGAGTCATTTTGCCATTTTACTATAAACAATATTTAAAGGGGTCATATGATGCTATTTTAAAGATCATTATTTTGTGTATTTGGTGTAACAGAATATGTTGACATGCTTTAATGTTCAAAAAACACATTATTTTTCAAATACTGTACATTATTGTAGGTCCTCTATGCCCCGCCTCTCTCAAACATGTCGTTTTCAACAAAGCCCCTCCTTTGACAAGCGCAGTCTGCTCTGATTGGCCAGCTGACCCAGTGCATTGTGATTGGCCAAACACCACATGCACGCATCAGAAATGTAATGCCCCTTACCGTAATCAGAACATCTGGGTTGTGCTGTTCTGTTGTAAATAAATCTTAACCAATGATTCCTAAATGCATCTACTTCCGGAAGGCCAAATAAAGTGCTTTTGCTTTCGCACTGAATCACACACCGTCTCCCTGACATGCTGCATCAACACTACTGCTGTTCCTGAAACCACGCCTTCTTTCTTTGCGTGCACATTTGGGCGGCATTATGCTAATATTTCCACATAGTGACGTAGACATGTGGGGGCGTGTTAGAACGAGCCGTTTTAGGTAGGCGTGGTTGACTCTTAACTTTTATAAAGAATATCTCTTTGGATTTGAGACTTTAGTCTTTGCTACTTTACAGATCTTCTTTATGCACCAAGAGCTTGTAACACTCCAAAGAGAAAGGAAAACTTGAAATCGCATCATATGACCCCTTTAACATATTATACTATATTAACAAATTATAAAAAAAAAAAATTCCTGAAAAGCTCATATTTTGATCATCATTCTGCCTTCCTCCCTGTTAATCCATCTCTGTTATTCTTAGCTTGTACATGCATTCTGGCTCTCGCATCCATCGTGACTCCTTTTGTTCCCTGCTCTGTATCTTTTCAGTCCTTCCATTCTCCCACCTGTCCCAGGCCTGTCTGTATCCCAGAGTGTGACGAGTGTGTGTATAATGAAGGCCCATTAGGAGAAACAACGGCAGCAGCTCCGTGCCGCATATGTCCAGTGGTCAAATGCTGACGACAGCTGGGCCAGCACACACACAGACACACACGCCCTAGAGACTGCCCTGGGTGTCCCACAGTCTGCCAGACGAAACGATGCAGACCGCTTCAACAGGAGGCTCAACCTGGGGATATAAACTGGGTGTGGGGGGGCATCCACGAAGCTGACAATGGCACCATGACATTTTTGTCAGACTGAATTCACTGTTTGTGGATATTGAACTAAAGGTAAATAATTAGTATATAGCATAGACTATAAATCTTAATATCAGAGACAGTTATCCTGATCAATCTGTATCCAAAAATCTTGATGGATATTAAGTAATAAGCATCTGCTTTTTTTTGCAATCATAGAAATCTATGTTACTGCCATATGCTTCATATTAATGAAGGAAATAGAAAAGTGGCCAAATGTAATGGTATAAAATAAGATAAATGTGTGCAAATGAATCTTATGTTTTACTATATGAAATTTTGTAAAGTAAAGACAGATTATGCTTTCTTTGTGTATTGATAGGGCTACAGCTTTTTTAATCCACCTGAAATAGTAGTCAATGGACGAATTAGGTATTTAAATATGTAAATTCAGTTTATGTATAATAATAATAATAATAATAAGATTATATATAAGATTTTGTTTTGAAAGAAGTCTCGTGCTCACCAAGGCTTCATTTATTTGATCAAAAATACAGTAAAAATAATAATAATATTGGAAAATATTATTACAATTTTAAATAACTGTTTTCTATTTTAATGTATTTTAAAAATGTAATTTACTCTTGTGAATTTTCAGCATCATTACTCCAGTCTTCAGTGTCATCATTCTAATATACCGATTTGCTGTTCAAAAAAAACTCTTATTATTATCAATGTTGAAAACAGTTGTGCTGCTTATTATTTTTGTGGAAATCATGATGCATTTTTTTGTAATACTGTAAATGTCTTTACTGTCACTTCTGATCAAATTAATGCATCCTTGCTTAATAAAAGTATTAATTTTACCAAAAAATAAATAAAAATCACTATATCACAGTAAATATCACTTTCTGAGTCAAACGTTATATATAAATATATACGATATATAATATATAAATTTATACTAAATTTATTTTCCACATGAACTACCAAACTGAATGTGTTTTTAATCGCTTATGAGTTATGACTATCAATGAAGTAACATAAGAGGCTTTATTTTTTTATTTGACCACCAACAACAAAGAAACAACCTCAGGTCAAACCAGACTGCATGTAGAACTGTGTATTTTCACCTGCCTCTCGCTGCGGTGAATCCCAATCCACACAAACACGAGACCTGATGCCCTTCAGCCATACAGACACAAAGACAAGGATGCAGTAGAGCTTTCAGCCGTACCACAAAACCTCCTGGAGAATATTGAGCTATAATCTGACCCAGGGCTTGTTGCATCCCTGAAGTACCACAGAACAAACATCAATAGTGCCTCAAGATGAAAGGACTAGGAGACATGGATGGAAGTAGAAATCAAGTGGTAATAATAAAAAAAAGGAGAAAATGAAATCTGTTGAAGAGGGCGAAAGTGTAAGTGTGTGTAAAAGAGTGTTATTATACTTATAATTATGAACTGAAAATAGGGCAGAATTACACACAGCCTGGTGTTATGAAAATCAATAACATCAACAAGGGGTTCATGAAGAGAGTAAGACGGGTTCACCAGCTGCAGACAATTGCTGTATATTAAATATACTCCAGCTGAATATGGGAAGAGAAACATTAGCTCAATGCCACTCAGTCTTCTTGTTGCCAAATGTATGGATTCACCGGTTACCTCAACTCATAAATGACTATCAAACCATACGTCGTTATATAAATTTATCACTTCATCATCTCTCGTTTAAAATGCATGTGTGAGGACAGTGAAAATGGTCACATTAATCCACTCCCTACCACCATACACACACAAATAAAAATGAGTGGACCACCCTCTGATCCGCACAATCCCCAGACAGCAAACTGAGCAGTCTGGCATGAATTATTCAATCACTTTCACACGGCTTGAATAACAGATGGTCAGTGGGCTTTTCACCAGAGGCGGACAGTAACTAAGTACATTTACTTGAGTATTGTACTTAAGGACACTTTTTGAGTATCTGTACTTTACTTGAGTATTAATTTTTCTGGGAACTTATGACTTTAACTTCACTACATTTGAAAGACAAATATTGTACTTTTCACTCCACTACATTTCTATCAAGGTCCTCGAAGTATAAAGTCTTTACTACTGTATGTAGCAGCTTTGGTGTCTGAAAGTCAGTGGGTGATTTTTTTTCTCTAAAACGTGACTTTCTTTTTTTCAGACAGTTTATCAGTAAGCACTCTGTAGGGCTACCTGAAGTGATTTCCCAGCATTTTTTGAACCACTGACTTATGACTTTAACTTCACTACATTTGAAAGACAAATATTGTACTTTTCACTCCACTACATTTCTATCAAGGTCCTCGAAGTAGAAAGTCTTTACTACTGTATGTAGCAGCTTTGGTGTCTGAAAGTCAGTGGGTGATTTTTTTCTCTAAAACGTGACTTTCTTTTTTTCAGACAGTTTATCAGTAAGCACTCTTGTAGGGCTACGTGAAGTGATTTCCCAGCATTTTTTGAACACTGACCAGTTGCAAATGTGATATTTATTTACAACAATTCAATAATAAGAAGTTAATATTGTGGTATATATTAGACAATATTGTCTGATTTTGCTAAATTGTGTACGTGAAAATATTACCTATAAAGCCACAGAAGAACTGTTGTGCGTCTCCTAATAAAACACAATAGGTGTTGGACTTGAAGCAGCACTGCACAGACCGTTCTGTGTGTGACATCAAAGTACAGCGAGAGTGATTAGACAGTCTTTTTTTATCGACGACTTGACGCGGTATTGCGATAGTTTTGTGTGAGGAACAGAAAGAAATGTAAGTCGTTATTCACTGATAATCTTTCATTTCCGTGAGTTGTTAATTCGAACACTGCTTTCATTCTGATTCAGTGAGTCGAATTTTGTGAACGAATCATTCAGTTCGAATTTATAATCTGAATCACCCGGTTAATAAAAAGACTCAAAAGAATGATTAATTAATTGATTCAATTCAACATGCATAGAAGTCAATGTCTTAAAGGTACAACAGCAAAAACAGAGCTAAGAGAAAGGCTTGTTTTCGTGCACGAAACGTTAAATAATAACTGTAAATAATATAACAGTAAAAAAATAAAAAATAAAAACTGGTTCTCAATTGTGGAGGAATTTGGAAGAATGCTATTTTAGGTTGGTAAACAAATTGGTTGAAAAGGTCAGAAACCTGGAACATGCACTACCCTTTAAAAGTTTTCGGTCAGTAAGACTTCTACTGTTTTTTTAAAGTCTCTTAAACTCACCATGGCTGCATTTATTTGCCCCCAAATGCAGTAAAAAACGGTCATATTTTAAAATATTATTCCAATATAAAATTTCGGTTTTAATATATTTTAAAATGTAATTTATTCTTGTGATGTAAAGCTGAATTTTCAGCATCAGTACTCCAGTGTCACATGATCCTTCAGAAATCATGCTAATATGCCGATTTGCTGCTCAAGAAACATTTCTGAATATTAGTTGTGCTGCTTAATATTTTTTTGTGGAAAAAGTGATGCACCCCTCTCCCCTCCCTTTTTTTTTAGGATTCTTTAATGAATCAAAAGAACAGCCTTTACTTGACTGTCACTTTTGGTTATTTTATTTCATCTTTGCTAAATAAAAGTATACATTTATTTCAATAGCAGCAGATAATGATTATTTATTAAGTCATTATGACTTAACCTATTAAGAAGCAACTCCTCCAGAAAATACATGCAAAAGTAGAAGGAATGGGCACATGCAGAAACCATAAACATGACAAAACCATTTTAAAATTTCAGCACTTTAATTCACCCAGTTCGGTTTGAGACATTGCTCTGATCAAATGATTACAAGAAAATGAATGAAAAGCAACGTAAGGGTAAAAAACACAATCTAAACTTCAAAGGTTCAGTCGCTCATCATATAGGGCTAGTGAATGTTTACAGGGTTGAGAAAAGCATTGACAGCTAATACTCGGCCACAATAAGAGCTATGAAATATCCAAAACTCCACCAACAAAACAGTTAATGCCAAGATGGAAGAAATCAATTTGACAATAGCAACAAATACAGCCCAGAGATGCAGTAGTGGTGCATGAGAGCACCATACACTCATGAAACGGCTGGAATTTGATCACTTTTCTCCTGAAAAAGCTTCTTGAGAGGATACCTTCACAATATAAAATACAGATTTTAACACATTTAAATATGACTTGATAAATGGAAAGCCTACTGAACGGGTCTAAGTGTCATCTTAGATTCAGAGAACTATGACCATCATGGTCAGAAATGTCATTCACTTCTGTTGAGTGTGTTTTCAAATTAACATACAGCCTTTATGCAGTCAATCATAGCTCTTTCATAACTTTTCTGGAGAAATATAAAAGCAGTTCACACAAACTTTTATCACAAACTTGCAAACTGTTCCAGGGATAAAATATACATGGTAAATACACCTGCATGATACCATGTTATTCTGGTAAATATTAATGCATGCTTTGGCCTGTATAGAAAGTTCTATACAATGTGTAGCTTTAAATGTTAAAAATGAAACCTTCGACCAAAGCAGAGTGATTTTAAACAGTGCTATTACATAGTACACAACAAAATCATGACATAACATATTATTTTCCCGTTTTAGTAGTGAAAAAAAGTTTTTGAGGTTATGTTGGCACAATTAAAGCAGGACAGTGTAGTCATATAAAGATTAATGAAAGAACTGAACATGGAGAAAAGAGGAGGAAATTATAAACATAATAAAAATAAACTTTTGGGGGTAAAAATGATTTCTAACATATAAGTGGGTCCTGTAAAAAATGCAGTTAAAACTCTATGCCAAACCCAAACCTTGGGTTTCCAAGAGATTTCTTAAAGTCGGCGAATTGCAGTAGGAATTATACATCTCTAAGCTTTTTTCTTTCCGTCAGCCCACTAGCGTTATCCTAAACTCCATTATAGCTCAGACTCATCCTCTTCCCTCCAGAACTGAAGCTCGTGTTGGGGCCAGACGGTGGCGTTGTGAGGGATGCTACTGGTGGTCACACAGCAGTACAGCAGCGGTTCTCAAACAGTTGTTCAATGACAGAGCTGTCTGCTAATGTGGACACGTCACCTAGATCCTGCTCGTTACACGCTATCTTCCGCAACACACGCCGCATGATCTTACCTAATAAAACAGGAAAAAACAGAAGAACACTTAAGCATCATCATAAATATTAAAACTTTTTTTGTGAATGCTAACAGTAAACTGTCCAATACTAATACCTGATCTGGTTTTTGGAAGGCCAGGTGCATTCTGAATGTAGTCAGGTGTAGCTATGGCACCAATCTTCTCCCTCACTGTTTGAAGGAAAATAAAATAAAAAAAGGGAGTGGAAAAAGCCATTACTTGTAGTTCATGAACCAAATTTATATATATATATATATATATATATATACACACAGATATATATATTACTCAATGATTTGTAAATTATTATTTAATTAATAGACAAGCTCAAAACACTTAAAGGGATAGTTTATAAAATAGGAATATTCTAATTAAAATAGAAATAAATGCAGTAGAGACAAAGCAAAACAAAAAAGCAAAGCAAAGCAAAAGCAATCTCATGACTTCAGAAGTGCAGTTTTAAAAAGGGCTTTTTTTTATCCCTATTAAAGTGTGACAGTTTAAAATCACTTTTGCTGTATTGAAAATATTCAAATGCACTAGACTTTGCACATGCAAAATGTCTACGACTAATGCAAAGGTTGTAATATGACACCATGCTTTCCGGCGTCTTTTTAAGAAACATAATTCCCACATATAATGCATCCAAAAATGTATAAATAGGTCATTTACATCACTTTTCTGTAAAGTTTGTGTTCTTTTAATTTAGCTAAGACCACACCGATCTTCTACTGGTCTTCACACGATACGAATTTGCAGGGCAGCGTTCACCAAACTTTGGAACGCAAAAAAAGCTTGCATTGCCTGTGTCCCGCATTCATATGCGTATTAATGGAATTCAGTGGAACGAAAAGTGACCAACCTTTTACATGAGTGACTGAATGACGACAGAATCGTAATTCTTGAATGGATCATTTACACGTACCCTGCTTTTTAAGCTCCACCTCCAGCTTTTGGTTGTAGTTGATTCCATCATTGAGGGTGACAAAACAGTAGAGACTCTCGCCTTTAACAGGGTGTGGCCTCCCCACAACCGCTGCCTCAGCCACAGCTTCATGCTCCACCAGCGCCGACTCCACCTCTGCAGTGCTCAGTAAGTGCCCTGGAAGAAACAGATCCAGCACCAATATATCAAAGCTTTTGCTCTATTACAGGCCATTTTGTTGGTAATTAGGCTACTTCAATGCTTAGTAAATTTCTAGAGTCATATCAGTAGAGACAGAAAACAGGCAAGAGACAAATGATTGCAATGTGTGGCCTGAACTTCATCTTTAGCATTTTTTCCAAACTCATTAATCTGCATAATTTTAGCATCTGTAGGTCCAGTCCACACAGCTTCTCTCTCCACACTGGGATTAAAGGAACAATAAATGAACGAATGTCCTCATCCTCTACTCGCCAGACACATTCAGCATGTCATCTATCCTTCCAGTGATCCAGTAGTACCCGTCCTTATCTCTACGACAACCTGGACAGACACATAACACCCTTAACTAAAGCACAAACCGTCTCTCACTTCACGCAATTATATGATACCCACTTATAGTAACACTAAATATGAATCATCACAAATTACCATCTCCAGTCACGTAAAATCCAGGGAATTTCTTGAAGTAGGTGGTTTCGAACCTTTCGTGGTTCCCGTACACAGTTCTCATCACACCTGGCCAAGGCTGTTTAAACACCTGAGAAAGAGAAGCGCTCGTGTTTAAACTTGAATGGATCAAATTTAGCTGATTAATTAGCGTTAAGAGGTTTAAAACATATGGAACATCCATTTATTTATTTATTTTCAAAATTCACTTTACCAGATAGCCCTCACTTGGGCCTTCAAGTTCCTCCCCTGACTCATTTAGAATAGCAGGTACAACCCCAAAAAAGGGAAATGTCTACAAAATGAAAAAACATCAACCACCATACAGAAATTAATAAAAGCAATTCTACTGTACCATACTACGCTTAATTTAACAAATAGGTTTCTGTTTTGTAGAAACAGACGGAATTATTTTACAGTATCTGTGGTAATGAACATTGCATCAGCCTTGTATCATTTAATTGTTTCTTTTAGCAACATGACAAATATATACGCTATTGTTCAAAAGTTTTGGGTCAGTAAAATTGTTTTTCTTTTTAAAAATGTATACTTTTATTTAGCAAGAATGCACTCAAATACTAAAAAGTGGCATTGAAGATATTTATAATGTTACAACATTTCTATTTCAAATAAATGCTGTTATTTTCCGTTTCCACAAATATCAAGCAGCACAGCTGTTTTTAATACCGATAATAAGAAATGTTTTTGAGCACCGACTCAGCATATTAGAAGGATTTCTCTTAGTGAAACGAGTCTCTTGGTGAGCAAAAGAAATACAAATACAAAAACATCTTACCAACCCCAAACTTTTTTTTATTCATTTATTCATTCATATCACAGGTTCACTCACAGCAGAGCCAGGCTTCATGGGAGTAGCGGCCGGCAGAGGGGTCATCACATGCCCACCCTGAGGAAGACAAAAACAAAAGACAAGTGACCATACAGTAGACGGTTCCAAAGCAACATGGATGTTACTGCTCTGGTCTGAATGGTTAGAATCCAGTTCATACCGTCTCAGTCTGCCAGAAGGTGTCCACCACCGGACATCTCTTCTCTCCCACCACGCTGTAGTACCACTGCCAGGCTTCTGGGTTTATGGGCTCCCCTACGGTCCCCAAAATCTTCAGGGAGGTCCGGTTATACCTGACGACAACAAACACGCAAACTATTCTGAATACCAGTAAAAAGTTAGGACACAAGAAAATTATCTAGGCACACCGCTCAGTTTGCAGACTTTGTAAGCAAACAGAGTGCAAGACAAAATACAGAGCAATTACATAACACAAAGAGATGAGTACTATCCAAGTGTTATCATCAGTAGTTATCATCAAGTGTTCTCCGGCAATGGGAGAAAGTGTCCTAGATGGATAACAGATTAACTAGCAATGGCAATAAAAAAAAAAAATACACATTCATAATACTGCCAATACTTATTCCTAAACATCATAATTTATACTGTAAACACTATACTACTCTATATACACACACAGTGTGTCAGTAAAAAATATTATTTAAACCAAGAGAACATTCCACAAGCAAGTTTTAAAGAGCTTTTTCAGACTGTCAGCCATCCAGTCAGTGTTTTCACACTTTTCTAGTTATTCTTGTCTATTGTATAAGGATTTCACACACACAAAAAAAAGAATAGAAAGAAAAAATAATAATAATTGTACGTTCTAAAATATTTTGATAGCTCAGTATAACTTTTATGTTGTCTTATAGTCACCAAGGCTGCATTTATTTAATTAAAATACAGTAAAAAACAGCAATATTGTGAAATCTTATTACAATTTAAAATAAAATATATTTTATTCCTGCGATGCAAAGCTGAATTTTCAGCATCATTACTTCAGACTTTAGTGTCACACGATCCTTCAGAAATTATTCTAATATGATGATTTGGTGCTCAATTTTTTTTTTATTATAATCAACATGAAAACAGTGCTGCTTAATATTTTTTTGGAAACTATGATGCTTTTTTAGGATCCTTGGATGAATAGAAAGTATTTACAAGAACAGTATTTATTTGAAATAGAAATATTTAATCTAACTTAATGCATCCTTGCTCAAGAAAAGTATTACATTTTTGAATAAATAATTAAATGTACAAAGCATAAACTTTTGAACAGTAATGCACGTTTCCAATTTGAAGTTTTTTTTATTTCCATGACTTCCAAGCTCGGAAATCACAACTGATCACGTCTGATTTTAACAAATTCTCCATGACTGTGGAAAGCCTCTCTCTAGTCTACTAAATCTAGGACAGACACAACAGACAACAAACGTACTTCTGAACGGGCTCACTGCCGTACTTCATCAGGAGCCGGATGGCGGTGGGTGCTGTGTAGAACTTGGAGACGTGATATTTATCAACAATCTCCCACATTCGGCTCACATCCGGGTATGTGGGAAGACCCTCAAACTAGAAGCAGAAGATTAAAATTCATATTATACAACAATAAATGCTTATGTTGATGAGTCATTATGTTATTAACATAAAGAAAATGACAGCACAGGGCATAATGCAAAAAGTGCTTATTAGGCGTTCCCCTCACCAACACACTGGTCGCGCCATTGGCCAGGGGCCCATATGTGATGTATGAGTGGCCGGTGATCCAACCAATGTCTGCAGTGCACCAGTACACATCATCAGAGTGATAATCAAACACCAACTTAAAGGTGGCCGCAGTGTAAAGCATGTAGCCACTCACTGTATGCAATACACCCTAGAGGAGTGGTAGAAAAAAGAGGGACAAATATATACTTGAAATATGTATATGAAAAGAAAATATCACACAGTTGAAAGAGGACTGGGTTGTTTGGAGGATCTACCTTCGGTTTCCCAGTAGAGCCGCTGGTGTAGAGGATGAAGAGCGGGTCTTCTGAATCACACCAGACAGGCTCACACTCCTCTGATGCTCCACCAATCAGAGAGTGCCAACACAAATCAACCTCAGGATTCCACGGCACCTGCACCAATCACAGCACAGGGAGCGCACCTAGTTAGCTCGTCCCGTATAACTTGTGTTTACTCTTGCTGGTGTCACACTCCAGAGAACGGTACAACATGATGTCAATATCAAATCAGTCTGAGAAGGTCATCAACTGTAAATTATGCTGGGTTGAACAGAACAAATGCTGCTTTCAAGTTAAGAGAAGTCCCTACTTCGTTCCAAAATTGTAGTTATAACATCATGTCTGTTCAAGTGAATTTGGTTGTTTTGTAGAACTATAGTGCAACAAAATGAACTGATGCTTTATCTATGTACTTTATCATTCTCGTAGCCTTTATCTTTATAAAAAATTATTATTATTTTTTTTAAATCATGTTTCAATCACAACTCTATAAAAAGTAATTCCAGTTACTTCCTCATTTACAGGAACCATTTACACAGAGCAAGCTCTACCAAGAGGAATTACATTGGTGATGCATAACCAGATCGGATTTTAGTATTATTTATGTAGCATATAATTGTGCAGTATTTTTTATTTTTTATTCTGAATTAGATTTTTTAGATTTTCAGTTTTCATTTTAATTTTAGTTTAAGCTTTAGTAACTCTGTTATGTGCTTCTATTTATCTATTTTTACTCTACTTTCTATTTAGGTATTTTCAGCTTTCATGTTCATTTCAGTTTTAGTCATTTTAGTACTATAACTTGTAATTATTGCCAGGACAACATTTCTCATTTTCGTTTAGGTTTTTCCATATAATATTTAATCACAGCTTTATTTCAATTAACAAAAACAATTTTTAATAGATTTAGTTAAAATAACAACACTGAACCAGATCCACCAAGAAAAATAGTCCAGTTGCAAAGAACAATTCAGACAATTCCACAGCTAAATAAACTATTTTTACTCAAGAATTTGTGTGCTTTTCAAGCGCTTTAAAGGGGTCATATGATGCGATTTCAAGTTTTCCTTTCTCTTTGGAGTGTTACAAGCTGATTGTGCATAGATAAGATCCCTGAAGTTGCAAAGACTAAAGTCTCAAAACCAAAGAGATATTCTTTATCAAAGTTAAGACTCTGCCACACCCCCCTAAAACAGCTCGTTCTAACACGCCCCCACATATCTACCTCACTATGTGGAAATATTAGCATAATGCCGCCCAAATGTTCACGCAAAGAAAGAAGGCATGGTTTCAGTAACCGCAGTTAGTGTTGAAGCAGCATGTCAGGGAGACGCTGTGTGTTTCTAGAAGAAAGCAAAAGCACTTTATTTGGCCTTCTGAAAGTAGATGCATTTAGAAATCTTTAAGATCACTTACAACAGAACAGCAATGCATTTTATGGACGACCGTTTCGTGAACCTAGGAGAGGAGGTAATTCTGACTTTGCTATGACAATCTGGCGCTTCTGAATCAGCTACTGTTTTGTTATTAGTTTAAGTATTTGCTATTGACTGTTCAAATGCTGAGTTTTGCGCATGAGTGTGTGTGTGTGTGTGCGTGCATGCACACGCGTGTGTGTGTGACAGAGCATGAGAGAGATCACAGTGGAGTCAGCTGTCTTAACCGTGGCTTGTGTACTGCACACATACCAGCTTCATCACTGTGTCTGTCACGCGACCCCTTTCGGGCTCTGTCTTTACATTTATTTTGAAAGATGAAGCTCGCGATTATGGTAAGGGGGGTTACATCTCCGACGAGGGCTTGCGGTGTTCGGCCAATCACAATGCACTGGGTCAGCTGGCCAATCAGAGCAGACTGCGCTTGTCGGAAGGAGGGACTTTGTAGAAAACGAAGCGTTTGAGAGAGGCGGGGCATAGAGGACCTACAATAATGTACAGTATTTGAAAAATAATGTGTTTTTTGAGCATGTCAACATATTCTGTTACACCAAATACACAAAATAATGAGCTTTAAAAAAAGCATCATATGACCCCTTTAAAACAAGCTTCACATTTCTGCTTTTAAACCCTCCAGTCTATAGACTTCCATAAGTATTGTTGATTATAATGGGTTTTCAATTCGTTTTTACAGGGAAGAGTCACTGAAGTGGAAAACAATCATTCATCTTATAAACACACTCATTCCAGAATGACTTGAAATCAGCAAAAAGATGAAACGTGAAGAGTGTTGTATGCAAATAATGCATACAACACGTTATTTAGAAGCTCATGGTGGTATTTATTCCAGTCAGACTTAGATTCATTCAGTTCAATCTAACCAAAGTGAATGGAGCGCATAAGCCCATCTGCTTTAGTCAAAGGTGTTCTCAAAACTGAAAGAGAAAGCATCTGAAAAGATCAGGTTGTTAGCAAAACACAAAAACTCTAACGAACAAACAAAGAGAGACATGAACGTAACAGACAACTCTACAAATCTAGTTTTTCATGCAGTTCAGAGACTGAGGGAACACTACGTGAGCACTTGTGTTCATTTAAGTAGCATGAGCATTTGCATGGAGCTCATAGGAGAGAGTTAGTGTTGGACTACACAGAGAGAACCATCTAAGTGAAATACAACTGCTAACACAATAGAGAGCTATTAGAGTCTAGTCGCTATAACGTTATAAGAGCTTTCCAGACATCTGTGATGAAATCGTGCACTAGTGGACCAATAAAGTTTATGTGAGGAGATCATTTAGAATATGGACAAAAGGACACACCAGTCATTTACCAGAGATGTGACTAGAAGTACTTTTATTAGCCACAGTAAAAGGTTTTCAGTGCCAACTCATGGATCAGAATTGGCAATCACTTCATAATAACCATCATTCACAAACGTTAGAATACTGAACAGCAGTTGATATCTCAATTTTTGAATGTAATAAAGAATTAGTTAACATTTTATATACATTAAGATGCATTAAGACTTTAAAGGCTCTGAAGACATCAAGTTTTTAATAAGCAAGAATATGGCTTTAAATTATGGCCTCATAACTTACTGATGAACGCCAAGTCTGATGCGTGCATAAATGGTGTAAATTGCATTTGCAAAAGCAAACACGCGCGCGCACGCGCACACACACACACACACACACTGCATTCTGAGAGAATGTGAGAATAGTGATAAAGGTCTTGAGCCATCCAAAGAGCGAGAGAGCCGCCCATGAGCACACAAACCCGTGTTAATAAGACAGGAGGAGTTTAAACAAAACAAGTTATGCACAAAGGAGACATGAAATACCTGTGGGGGGGGACGGACCTTCCTTAATCTTTCTTTCTGTTTCTCCTGCTAAAGGGGGTTAATGGAGAGATTACTTACACCGAAAGAGGAAAAGGACACACAGACATGGACCCACATTGAAGGAGGAAATGAAATGCAAAAGATATTTTATATAAAAGTCCAACTGGCATTATTAGAATAACGGTTTTTAAACAGGTCATCTTGCATTGATGAATGTACACATATTACATTCAACTGTTGCAAAGGTCTTCAGCACAACAGCTCAGAAATCATGCCAGGCCTTTATGGATTTACAACAGTGACAAAACCTTTGTTAAACAACCATGAGATATCTGTAACACTCAGGACAATGCAAGACTCAAAACTCCACAGGACGAGAGTTAACATTTGAGAAACCATAACAAAGGGATAATGCAGTACTTTTTCATCTGAATCTATTCCCCATTGGCTCTCCATTGATTCAGGCGTTATAATTAGGGATGCACGATATATCAGCCACCATATCGGTATCGGCCGATAAATGCTAATTTTTTCTGTTATCGGTATCGGCCTGATAAGAAAATTTGGCCGATATCTTAAAGCCGATAAATAATGCATTATTTCCTTCAGAGACACTTCAGATGCGCGCTGTTCGTTTGCAGCCTTTTGTGCAATTGTACGTTGTAATATTGTGTTTATTTGATGTATATCTGATTTATCTCATATAGAATGCGTTTGGTTAAGTTTAAAGAGCACTTCAGTTTCTTCAGCAAAACGCTTCAGTTTACCATGTTCATTCAGCTCTTCAGCTTCAGCACGCGCAGCTCAACGGCTGCTATTTAAAACAGTGGTATTAATTTGTTAATTTTTCAAAATCATTGATACATTATTAATAACAACAACCACTTGTATTTTTCTCTTATTATTTTCATCAACAATATGGTTTAGTAATTAAAATCATTTAATTATTGTCCGTGCAGAGGCTATTCTGTTTTATTGATCTGTGGCGCATTCATTTTGATTCTTTACACGTGTAATGATGTCCAGTGACTTGTTTGCATTATTTATGCATTATTTTATTTATTTGTAAGACTTTTTTATGACTAAATTTGGTAATGGGAGAGTAAAAATATTTTTAAAACGTACACCGTTCAAACTAGGCTGCTTATGTTGAAGTGTTTGGGATGTGGCTTTTAATGATGAGACCTTTTTTGTAATCAGGCTCTCAAAAAGTATATAACAATTTGGATATAGATTTATCGGCCAGCATATCGGTTATCGGCTTTCAAAAATAAAGAATAATCGGTTATCGGTATCGGCCAAAATTTTCATATCGGTGCATCCCTAGTTATAATACATTAAGGCTTACTTGCTTTGTTTTTGTTTGATGCACAAAGTGTGTGGCTTCTTTTTAACCTATATTATAAACTCAACTCAAATCAAACCTCAGGATAGTGTCAAAGCCATGGCCTCGTGTGCTCATGAGGGGAAACCTGAAAATGTATATTAAGCAGCACAACGGTTTTCAACATTGATAATAATAATAATAAATGTTTCTTGAGCAGCAAATCAGCATATTAGAATAATTTCTGAAAGATCATGTGACACTGAAGACTGGAGTAATGATGCTGAAAATTCAGCTTTGCCATCATAAGAATAAATTACATTTTAACATTAAAATATAAATCAGTTCTTTTAAATTGGAATAATTGATCACAATATTACTGAATGTTTGATCAAATAAAGCCTTGGTTAGCTTAAAGACTTCTTACAAAAACACCTGCAGCAATGTGGAGATGTCCAAATGAACAAGAAACAAATCCAGATGAAAAAAACTAAGTGTGAAGCCTGTTAGCTGGTGCAGAGGTTAAGTTCACCTGCAGATCGGGGCAGGTGCGTTTCACAGGGGGCGACAGCGATCCAGACGAAGCCTCATCTTCTTTTGTGAGGCGTTTTAGCATTATACACTTCTCCACTGTGAAAGACCTGACAGTGTAAAAGACATGAAAGAATTAAGTGAACTGAAGACACACTCTCCTGAGCATGTACACAACTACAGTAGCCACTTTCTTAGGTCTCCAGTATTTCTTGAGCAGCAAATTATTAGAATTTATATTTTTAGAATCATTTCTAAAGGATCATGTGACACTTAAGACTGGAGTAGCGTAACGGTGCTGAAAATTCAGCTTTGCTTCACAGGAATAAATGACATTTTAAATAACTGTTTTTCAAAAAAATTTCTAAATTGTAATATTTCCTGATTTGTTGAAATTGAAAATGATCCAACTGTGTGAATAAATGCTGCTTCAAGACATTAAATGCAGGGATTTTCCAAACACTGTCCAGTCCAGTATTTAAAGAATCATTCAGGGACCAAAATTGTTGAGTGGAACTGAATTAGTGAACCAAACAAGCATAATTTTACTGCTGCTATTCCACGTTTGACAAACTGAACCTAATAACTGTGAGTACATGCACATATGATAAGCACTGCACAACAACTCATTTTTACTAGTTTTACTAGTGTTTATCATACTTGTCCCTGCATTTCTGTAGCGCCTCATCAGCTATTAGCTTCAGACTGATCAGCTTATCACCGCGGTAAAAACCATCTAGGGAAGGAAAGGGAGAGAAACACACAATAAAACAACTTCTATTAACTTTTCATTTACCTAAAATCTAATATTCCCAGATAATCCCAAAAAGACAAAGACAGTAAACTTTTATTAGGTAATAATAACAGATCACCTTTTATTAGCTGATAATAACAGATTATGTATGGCTGAAATGTGTATTTTATGGTTATAGTCCACTCGCAATCCTCTAATAAGCTCATGAATTCTGCATCAAGCTCAGTGCAATGTCAAAGATTTTAGCTCTACCTAAAAGACTAATATCAGACTAATCATTTCAGTGGAATGTCTCTTTTTCAATTACAATCAGACAACGTAAATATCCTGATATTTGGCAGCAAGACATAGCAATATATGAACCAATGTGAAGAGCCCGTTTCTCAGAAAGTCCTGAACAGAAGTTAGTTTTTCTTTAGTTTTAGTTTCTCTTCCGGCCTTTCAAAACAACTTAATGATAGATTATGGGGTCAAATTTATCCCAAAAACTCATTCTCCTTTCTAAACTTGCCAAACTCTCAGCATTTAGTTTCCTGTCACTACTCAAAGATCGCAGCCGCAGGCTAAACAGCTTTTGATGGTAATATGATTAACACCAGACTTGTGAACAATGTGAAAAGCTGCGCTCTTTTGCAGTAGATGGAAACGCAGCTGATTCACTTTGGGATTAGCTGCTCTAAGATTACACACTTTGAGTAAATGACATCAATTACATCAGATTTTTCCTTACCTGCCGTTATAAGAATACAGCATTGAGAGTCCATGATCCTTTCACACAACGACTCGGCGGAGAAACCGGCGAACTGGGTTGTGAACACAAAAATGTGAGTAAATATACTGTTGCAACAGCTTATAGTATTTTTCTTATGCATTCAATTTTTGACACAGCGCCAAATCTTTTCTACAAACAATCCAACATTTGGGGGAAAAAAAAGGCTGATAGAGATCACACCCTGCAAAGCATGTATGGGTACTTTGTTTTTACAAGTTTTAGAACAAGCTGGTTAGTCAACACAGCCAAGATCCAAGATAAGACAAAGGACTGACCACAATAGCGTGGACCGCTCCAATCCGAGCGCAGGCCAACATAGCCACCACCAGCTCCACCACCATGGGCATGTAAATAGATACACGGTCACCTTTCTTCACACCTGCACAGTCCGAGAGAGAAAGAGACCAACAATTGTCTTAATACACAACATCAATGTCAAATCTTTAACCTGCTGCTGGTCACTATTATACCAACAGTTCAACAGCATTTGTTTTTAACCTTGTGACTTGAGGACATTGGCAAACTTGCAGACTTGCTGCAGCAGTTCTCTGTAGGTCACCGTCTTCTCATCTCCAGGTTCATTACCTTCCCTGTCCAAAACAACACCCAGAAATATGACTCTCATAAGGCAACAGTAATTATTCACAGTTTCCACAAAAATATTAAGCAAGTTAAGTTTTCCCAAATTGGTAAATATAAGAAATGTTTCTTGAGCAGCAAATCAGCATATTAGAATGATTTTTGAAGGATTGTGTGACACTGAAGACTGGAGTAATGATGCTGAAAATTCAGCTTTGCATCACAGGAATAAATGACATTTTAAAATATATAAATATAGAGAACAGTTATTTTAAATTGTAATAATATTTCACAATATATTCGTTTTTAGTGTACTTTTCACCAAATAAAAGCAACCTTGATAAGCATAGCAGACTTCTTTAAAAAAAACAAAACAACAAAAAAAAACACTTTCCAACATATTTTCTAACAAAGTTAATTCATTTACCAGTCATGTATACTGACACTTGTGTTCAACAGCAAAGTATGAACATGAGACACTGGGCAGTTTAACAAAACATGCATCTCCTAGATTCACCTGTTTGTTCAATTTTCACTCTCAATGTTTCTGATATGTTTCAATTGCTGTAAACTTCTGAAAACCCTTATTTTGGTGTGAGAGGTGCCCTTAAATGTCCCCTACAGGTTAATAAGTAGCTTTTTATTTTGACTTTGTATGTCAGCTGACATTCTTAAAATAGAATGAATAGAATAAAATGAATAGAATAAAATGTCTGGCAAAAGACAACAACTTGAGCATTTCAAACTGAATTCTGAAATGATTTGAACTTATGTCGTAACAAGAAACGATCGAAAACTTCACAATCGCTAAACTGGCATTGCGAAAGCAGAGAACTAGCAACTGCCCCAGACAACGTTTGTTGCACGTAAAGGGTTTACAAGCTATTTTTGTAGATCTGAATGCTAATGAACAATGACTGCCAAAAAAAAAAAAAAAAGTCCTCATGAACTGCATGGACAGCATCCAGCACAGATAAAGTGATCCATTGCAATGCACATGAAGAAATGACACTGTGAAGACGCAACACTGCAGATACACCTCATTCTGGGTGGAGCGCTATTGGCGGGACCTGGTTCAAGCTTCCATGATTTACTAAAACAGCTTGAGAGTCTAAATTTATCTCAGTTGTTTTGCTCTGACTTACCCCGGTCTGTCAGTGTTTGCCATGTTAATGTATTAATAGCCCAGGCCCAGTAATATTATATCGACTCAGGTAACCTGGATGGGATCTAAACCATGTAGATTTGTGGCCAAATATCCCGAATACAACTGTGGTTTAACCTTGTGCTTAAAGAACTGGGCTGATTACTGAAAGGTTGTAGACTGAACTATGAGCAATCATCATAAACCAATGTCGATTCAGAGGTATTACGTGTACTATACTGTACTGTATGTTGTTTTGCATAACAACATTGGCTAAAATGACAGTTAAAAGTAGACGCATTGAAATTCAAAACACTAACACCGCTCTCAAAATACAAGAAAAGACTTAATGTCACATGCACAACTTTCGGGCTAAACTGAAACACTTAAACCACATAATTCACAAATACTAACCAGTAAAAAGCCACTTTGTCACCAAGTTTCCTCTCATGGACGTTGCGGTCCAAAACATTATAGCAGATGTTGGTTGTGGCACCTTCCATGCACTTCACGAAAATGTCACCCTTGGTCACGTCGAAATTGTAGTCCAGGAACTTCCCGGTGTATTTTGTCTTCCAGAAAAAATCCTCGGCAACATCTCCCCAGAACTCTGGACACAACAGGACGAACACACCAGAATATTTATGCGCAGCTGATTCATAACTTGTGTATCCAGAGCAAAACCACAGACGAATTTCCTAGCCATCAATAGATTGTTTTTTTTTTTTAAATAAATAAATAAAATGGTTGTGTCTTTTCTAGGAATTAAGTGCATTTGGTCTAAGTAAGGACTTTTATTTATTAAAAGTATTTTTTTTTTATAAAAACAACGACAATAATAAATGCATGAATGATGTACTATTATTATTTAAAACATTATATTTCAATTGTACTAGTATAACGTGTTTTTTTTTTAAGTATTTAAAAACAACAATAATTGTTCATCTGTTTATTATTAAAAATAACAACAAAACACACTATTACAATATTTTATTTGTATTACTATAAACAGGGGGTAATGTTTTTAAGCATATCATAAGGGCATGTGGTGTGTTTTGTTCTTCTAGGAAGTGCATCTGGACAAAGTATGAATTAAAAAAAAAATATATATATATATTTTAATAATAAAACAACAACAAGCATATATTAAAAACAAACAAAAAAAATTGTTTTTAATAATAAAAACAAAAAGCTTTTAATCTGCTAATGGCCTGCCCAATGAAGCTTACCCTCAGGAGACTCGACAGATCTGATGTAGAGCTCTTTGTATTTCTCAAAGCTGGGGATGTGCGCTTGTTTCTTCAAGTCTCCTGAAGCGTGCAACACTTCCTCGCCTGGTGCCTTGTCAGGAATCATTTTAATAACTAATTCAATGGACGCAACCAATATCAATCCACCTAGAAGAACACAAACGACCACTGGCCTAACGTGTGGAAGTCACTTCCGTGTGGGAGAGTTTCACTCCCATACAGGCGCTGTGTGCACCCGAGTCTGGGCTGCTGAACAACAGTGAATCTAGATCAGCGCTGCTATTGTGTTTTAATGAAGCGGCGACGATTCGGATTCAGTTCGCAAAGTACAAGCTGTCCGAGACGCGTTTAAAATTTGGACTTGCAATTATTATTATTATAAACAGGCTTTAATGTTGCTCCGACGATTATGGACGAAATATCAAAATAAGTTTGGATTTAAAAGTCGTCGTACATACAGAAAAAAATATATATAAAAAAATCAAGATGCACTTGAGAGCTGTCAAACAAGACAGTATGTCTCCTCTAGTTTGAGGTTATCTCGTGTAAAGTCGATTAAAGCTGGAAATAATTCCCGGCATCAGAGAGGAAATGCAGCCTTTAACTGAATCAAACATGCAATCAAATGAGACGTGCATGCAGTATGAGATTAGTCGTTCTTCCACGCGTGGATTGCAAATCCTCAGTGTGTCTGCAGGACAGCCATTGAAGCGCAGAAATCATGTACGCGACTAGAACGGTACTTAGCGTGAACCTTGAGTTCTTCGAGGGGCGGGGCTTAATCTACCGGATGCTGTTTCTTATTGGCCCTCTTCTAATTTAACCTATTCACGGCGTACTTTTTATTTTTTAACAATCTTATACAAGCCCATAATCAAGAAAGAAGAAAAAAAAGGCATTAAAAAAAAGCAAAAATATACAATTTGGGTATATAAATAATTCAAATACATTTCAACTCACAATTGTTTTTTTATTATTTAGTGCTCCTGTGGCTCAGCCGGCGCAAAAGGCCGTGGGTCCGATTCCCAGGGAACACACATACTGGAAAAAAATAATAATAATTTATAGCCTGAATGCGCACTGTAAGCCTCTGCTAAATGCATAAATTATGATTATTATAAATTATTCAGTCTCGGACGGAATTGATCAACACCACAAAGTTCGGGGTTTTATTAGTGAAGTAACATTTATTTATTCGAAATCGAATCAAAAGTACACAAATATGAATATTATTTCGAACAATACATTTATAGTGTATTTTGCAACGATTTTCACTCCAAAGGAATTTCCAGTTTGGGATAACATCTGTATAGAAACAACATCTTTCAAGTATGCCGAATGAGATGAACTTTAACCGATTAATATTCAAAAACAGTGGCAAAGGGCGTGACTTTACTCTCATCTGTATCATATATTGGCATTAAATGCTGTTATAGTATAGTGTTATATCATCAGACTTGAATGCAGCACTGGTTTCGGGTTTCTGGGCCGCCAACCGCCCTCCAGAGGAGGAACCTGATGCGGCCCATGGAAGCTATTCGAGTCATTGGCGCACAATGGCAGCGAGGAGCCTGTTTGAGCTCAACATGACCTCTACCGGACAGGGGCCCGTCGTTATAGCCAAGGGGTGTCCAATCCTGCTCCTGGAGGGCCGGTGTCCTGCAGAGTTTAGCTCCAACCCCAATTAAACACACCTGAACCAGATAATCAAGCTCTTACTAGCATACTAAAAACTTGCAGGCAGGTGTTTTGAGGCAAGTTGGAGCTAAACTCTGCAGGACACCGGCCCTCCAGGACTGAGTTTGGACACCCCTGCTTTAGCCTATTATCAGTGTCGCCAAATATTTCATGTATAGTTTTTTTTTTAACTAAAATAGATGGATATATCAGAAAAAAAAGACACACACTAACCTTTCTTTAGTTATAAAACGGCATTTTCCTATAAAACCAAACACTGTGTGCACTCCGAAATGTGCGTTAAGCGCTTGTTCTTCCAGAGCATTACTTCCAGTGTTTTGAAGGCTACTTTGGTAAGAGGTTCCAGATCACCCTATTTAAAATGTAATAAGTAGTGTAACTATTTCAATTACTTTATTAAAGTAATGTAACTGATTACATTTCATTACTTTTCTAAATTTCTAACGAATGCTTTCAACTGCTTGAAACATTTAAAGCAGGCAGTTAACCTTACAAGTAGTTCTCAACACTGATTACTCAAGACTTTCAAAATCCTTCATCACTTGAATTAAGATTATAATCGTTTAATTTTAAAGTACAGCTACCACAAAATCAGACTTTAACAGCTCTTTTTACTTCGAGATTGTTCGGAGGTTAAATAATGATTTAAAATCATAACAAGAAATGGTTTATTAGCTATGATACTGTTTTTGAAATCAAATCTTTGCATAGCTATGACAGGAAACACTGGCATCTAACAATGCCTTTGAAAACACGGTTAATCTTAAATAAATACATAGACACACTTTCTATGTATTTATATATAATATAATAATATATAATATAAATACATACAAGAACCAAGCAGCCATTAATGATTCTCAAGCACTCACACCATATATTAAAAACCCAAACACAGGTGTCCAATTTTCTTTTTTATTTTACAAAGAAACTTCCTTTAGATGTTCCTGAAAAGAGAAAAACGCAATCATTAGAGAGAAGCATAATTAGCATCCACCTGTAACAAACACAGTCTGATTTAAACAGTCTACAATTCCACCACACATTTGATCAACAACTGCAGAAATTTAGTGAATACTATGGGAGTAATTAAAATTAGTCTTTTGCATTATTAAAAACACTTAAAAAAAACAATAATATTCAATACAAAGGATTTTACATCCTTTAGTTGCGCTGTAACTCTTAAAAGTGCTCACTGATACTGGTTATAGAACAAAGAAATCAGTTGCCGAATAGGAAAACTTAATCTTACAGGAAGTTTAAAGCATCTTTTCGCATAACCACAAACTTAACACTAGCGGTTTCAAAAAGCATTTAAAATCGGCCAAAAAAAATCATCATGAAGGAGATGAAAATACAGCAGTTTACTGACATGGGCTTACTTTGCTACAATGCTGTCGTTCTTTGCGAGCCTCAGGAGGGAGTCATCAGCTTCACCCTGCAGATGGCAAAGCAAATGTCTTGAGACCACACCAGATGTAACTGAATCTGTGCGTTCACATTTATATGAACATTCCAAATTACACATTTTAATATCCTACATATGATATACGGATGCAGAAGAATGGGTTTTAAAGGAAGAGTTCACTCCAAAATGAACTTGTTTTTGTCCAAAAGACTCCAATATCTTGATGGATTTATCACAAACACGCAGCTTTTCTCTTCGCAAGATGTTAATTAATGGACTAGAGTCGTGTGGATTGTGGACTCTCATTCACTCATCAATTTGTGAGCTAGTGATATAATGCTACATTTCTCCAAATCTGTTCTGATGAAGGAACAAACTCCATCTACATCTTTGATGGCCGGAGGCTACATTTTCATTTTTGGGTGAACTATCCCTTTAAGCGTGTTTGAACATACCATTCTACGGATAGCACCACAGATGGCGTAGGTCTTGAACTGTCCATTGAACCTGCCTGTAGCCTTGTCCACCTGTAAACACCATAAGGAGAAGCTCATTAATCATCACAACTCTGAGATTTTGTTGTTTAGTTCACAATAATAGACTAATATACCTATTGGTATCTAACAGTTGTCATTTTGGCTGGTGTCACTTACAATATATACCAACAGTTTTGTGAATGCAAAATATACATTTTTTGCATGCATTTTAGAATTTTAATAATATGCGCATGCAATCTAATAATATAGTTTTAATTAATATATCATTAATCTAATAATAATAGTTTTGTTTACTGTGTGGAGACGTGCTGATACCGCGTTTGGTCTCGTTCTGTGTCGCGTATCTTGTCAGTGTCTGCGCTTGCTTGGCCATTTGTTGTGGAGAAAATAAGGAAAGTGTGTCCAGCTGAATTAATTTAGTTTTTTTTTTTTTTGACGGTTATTTATTTAAAAAATGCTTCATTTACCGCAACAGCGTCAAGTGAAGGCCTCCTCGTATGAAGACCGAAGAGTGTAAAGACCACCGACTCTACTGTGCGACTCCACCGGGCAGGACACCGGATAAGTATCACTTTTTATTTCTCCTCTTTCCTACTACTGTTTCAGTTTTTACAACCATTTCTTACTATGTGTAAGTTGTTGTTTTTTAGCATGTAAATTTGGCAGTGTTATTTTTTAGGATTACTGAAACTACTGTCATTTGATTTGTATTAATTGTATTTGTTATTTATTTTAATTTTAGTTACATTATGTCTGAATTTATTATTTCTGTATAGGTCTTTTATTAAGTTTTGAGTTTTATTTCATTTGAGTTATTTTAAAACTTCAACAAACTAAATGGAAATGATATAATATATATATTGAATTTATAAATGTTTATGTACATATACAGTATATATGTATATGTGTGTGTGGCTACACATGCAGTTGTTTTTTTGGTGTTTGGCTTAGTGTTATGTTAGAATCATTATACTCTTATACCTTTTGTTCTTTACTATTTTGAATTGTTTTTAGCTTTATTTTTTGCTTTTCATTTAAATGTTAAGTTTTGAAATGTTGTTGTATGCATTTGTCATTTTTATTGAATCTCTTTATTTTTAAAATGTGTATAGGTAGTATTTATAACGTTTCAGCTTTTAGTTTTGGATCTGTTTTTAGTTGTTTTAATACTACAATTGATTGCTTCTGTTAACCTCATTTGTAAGTCGCTTTGGATAAAAGCATCTGATAAATGACTAAATAAATAAAATACATGTGTAGATACTAGGGGTGTAACGGTACACAATTTGGTAATGGGAGAGTACAAATATTTTTAAAACGTACACCGTTCAAACTAGGCTGCTTATGTTGAAGTGTTTGGGATGTGGCTTTTAATGATGAGACCTTTTTTGTAATCAGGCTCTCAAAAAGTATATAACAATTTGGATATAGATTTATCGGCCAACATATCGGTTATCGGCTTTCAAAAATAAAGAATAATCGGTTATCGGTATCGGCCAAAATTTTCATATCGGTGCATCCCTACATATAAACAAAAAGACTAGTTTTGTAATGTTAAACACGGTGTCAAACCTCAGCAATGTTGATCTGGATGGAGGCATGGTCCTTGGCACCAATAATTCTGTTGCTAGCAGAGCTAGAAATAAAGAAAATGAATAAATAAATTGATGTTCCCAAATAGGTGCTCACAAAATATTTAACCAGTATTTTAACTGTAAATATGTTTCTAGATAAACGAACTGTGCGTACAGTTCACAATATTATCAACAAACACAGACGAGGTGTTTCAAGGATTTAATGACAACATTTCCAAAAGCAAACAAGCGTTTCTGCTCAATTTGAACTCACCATTTGCGGGGGACGTACAGGTCCACGAACTCACCAGCGTCGTTCTGCATGCTGACTTTACTCGATGACCGCCAACCAGCTCCGTCTGCAGCAAACAATCACATCAGTCTATATGCACGACGAAACACCGTGCTTTACAAGTTGGAAGCAGAAGTGAGTTTTGTATTTGAATCGGCGAGCGTTCCTCGGACGCAGGGCCTGAGAGCGCGGCTCTCCACATGTGTAGCGACTCGGCCCTGCTGCCATTCACTCACCGTAACCCGCGCACAAAACTGACTATTTGGCGAATATGTGACACACGCGGTACAAAACACATCCGTGCATAAGTGGTGTGAGATATATGTTTTAAATGTTAGCTCAAAACAGTAAAAAATATCATAGTAAACTAGAGCTCATGGTGTTCTTACCGATTATCACAGATGGCCGACGCGGAAAGGAAGAGGAGACAGGGAAAGGAAGTGACGTAGCACGAAAGGCACGATAAGAGTGCGAGCTCTTTATAAACAAATATCTGTTAATAATTATTGATAAACAATGATTAATGCATATTAAATAGCAAAATGAAACAAATCCACTGATCTATAACGGAGGGGAAAAAAGACAGATAAAATAGATCAAACCAAGAACAGCACACTGGACACCAAGTTGAAATAGAAATGACACAGAATTCATCTGTTGTAAATGTATGTTCACTGTGGCAGTTAAAAAGAAATGAGTGGGAATCGTTTAGATAGATGAGGAAGAAATCGCCATTTCAGTAGGTGAAACTTTCTTTCTTGGACTGTCAACAGATTTTAAATAGCATGCATTCATACGCATGTATGCACAAAAATTCATTTAAACATATTTAATCCATCCACATTGTAGTAATGATAGTACTGAATAATTTGGTGTTAAAATAGAACCATTATAATACAATGACTTCTAATAAAATAGAAAATTGGAGAATCTATGAAATATGCAATCAGAGGGATTAGTTGAATTTTCATGTTCACACAGGGGCCACAAGTCTGGGATGGATCTGACCGCAGGAGCTATAGTGAACCTCAGGATGGGCATCTCAAAGTGTGGGTGGAGACAAAGATATTAAAAGATAAAATATTATACCAGGGTCTATATTGTACAGAGTTTATTGCAGGCCATTCTTGTGCATACATTATAGAGATTCCTATACGTCACAAGCTATTTATTTACATTTACATTTAGTCATTTAGCAGACGCTTTTATCCAAAGCAACTTACAAATGAGGACAGTAGAAGCAATCAAAACTAACAAAAGAGCAACAATATGTAAGTGCAAATGACAAGTGTCGGTTAGCCTAACGCACGTAGCAAGGTATTTATATTTATATTTATACAATATATATATATATATATATATATATATATATATATATATATATACATACACACACACACACACACACACACACAAAGAAAAACAAGTAGATAGAATAGAAAAAAATAGAAAGTTAGTGTTAGTTTTTTATATAAAAAAGAAGATAAATAGATAAAGTATAATTCAAATAGAATAGAAAGTACTAGAGTTAGAGGGTCAAATACAGATATTCGGTAGTTGAAATGTCACGTTAAACATAATTCAACAACAATTCACTGGAATTTAATTTCAAAACAAAAAAGAATATGCAATCCCACGGAAATGTCCACCTTTTTTGTGTGTTCTTTATTGGATGAAGCTATTAAAATAAATAACCTCAGTAGATACAGCCAAGTATTTCACACCTGCTCTGTTTTTTGATGTCATGCGCCATATGCTAAACAATAGACACCGGCTTGCAAAGGCCTGCAGCAAAATACCATTACGAGAGTCTGTGGGAGATGTGAACAGCTTGTGGGCACTCTTGTTCATGGACTATCAGATGAGTTACAATGACAGAAAAGGAATTCCTCTCAGTAATTCCTCTGTCTAAGGCCTTGAATTTCACTATTTCGCATAGACTTTACACCTTAAATGAATAGTTTACTCAAAAATGCAAGATGTAGATCGTTTTAACTGTTGCTTTCAGCTATATAAAAACAAGTTTAAAAAAAGTTGCCTCATCTGAATCAGGATTTACAAATGAAAACAGTCCAAAAGAGTTCTAAACAAATACGTTGTTGGATTTTGATGTGAAAGGATAGACAGGAGTCAGGGGATGGACTTTCTCACATGGAGAAAGTGTTATTATGGATTATGGACTCGGGTTTCGACCACAAGTTATGGTCTAAAGTTAAAAACCTCTTAGTGATGGACTTGTTTATCACAAACATGCATCTTTTTACTTCACAAGACGTTAACTGTTGAGTCGTGTGCATCACTTGTGGATTATTGTGATGTTTTTTTATCAGCTGTTTTGGCTCTCATTCTGACGGCACCCATTCACTGCAGAGGATCCATTGGTGAACAAGTAAGCTAATGCTACATTTCTCCCAAATCTGTTCTGATAACCGAAACAAAATCACCTTTATCTTGGATGGCCTGAGGCTAAATTTTCATTTTTGGGTGAACTATTCCTTTAAACAATAATGTCCAATTGAGCACACTCTAACTCATTTGCCCTGCAGCATCATCACTGTCAGTACAGCATTGTTTGTACTTTTTGTTTTCCTTCTGCATTATGTATACATGTTAAACTTGCTGCATAGGGGGAATTACCCTGTGAATGTGTTTCCTTGTGGTGAGATTATAACATTTTATAAGGTGACATGGTGGAAAAGATAAAAATCTCATGCAAATGTATTGTGTGGGAAAGAGGTTGATGGAGGTGAGTGTTTATGTTTCACAAAATCAATAGGGTCTTCTGAGAATGGCAATAAAATATGCTTCTATAAATACGCATACCTATTTATAGTATCTTGATCAGTGATGCTTGTGTCAAAAAGAATGATACTTTTGCTGAAGGTATCTAAATGACCATATCTGCAATTGCTTTCACATGAATATTCAATTAAACAATTATACATTTACATATGTACCACCCCCCAAAGGAACAAACAACTAATTAAAGTATTTGCATTTTTGGGGTAATTAAAATTATTTAAAGAACACAATACAGAACAATAAATAAATAAAGATGTGATGGAAATAGGAAACAATTTAAAGAAAATTACATGACTGAACCCTTAATAAATACAGGATTTCTTACAAACTAAAGGAATGTGCAGGATTTTTTTCTTCCTTTATAACTGTTTTTTAAATGTATTTATTTTTTAGATTTGTAGATTTTTAAATGAAAATGTAAGAGAAAAAAAGAGCCATTGCAATTTATTTAGTGTCTTTCTTTTCAGTTGCTCTGTTCATTTCAGTTAAAATATATCTGTCACAAAGGTCACATATTGTACACCTTTCTGGAGTTTTATTTGAGGTTTTGATGTCCTTAAGAATATATATTTGCGGTATAAGTACCAAAAACCATCTCGATATATTTTTACAGCTCCTCTCTCAGGAGCTCTGCTGAGAACAGATCGATTTTGGTCTGTCTAATTAATATTCATGAGCCTCTCTTCTGATTGATTGCATGAGTGTAAAACAACAAACTGACAATTTATATCTAATCATTTGTAATTATATATACATTGTTGTGATTAATTGTGGCTGGAACAATAATGTAGCTGTAAAAATAGTTGCCTGCTGAAATTGAAATGTATATACATCTTCATCATGACTAGATAGACACGGTGAGTTTGTCTTTACTATACAGGTTAGATGTGATCCACCTCATAGTAACAATCCTGTCAGATCGTCCATCCTCTGAGTGAGAGTGTAACGTTACAGGTCGGCCGATCCGGTTTCGTGGTTAAAGTTAACCCTTTCGACATGTTTCCGTGTTGTTGCTGTTGCTCAGCAATGGCATGGACGCGATGTTGTCTGGGGGTTTGGGAAAAGGAGAGTGGGACTGTGGGCAGTGCTCGGGGTGGTGACTGAAGGCGGCGACTGTGTAGTTCTGACGTCAACTTTTTACAGAAGTCACAACAGTTCACAAAAATCACAGCTACTTTAAGCAGGCTGTGTGCATTTTATTGTGGACTGACTGTTTTGAAATTGATATGGTAGTTAAATAGCCCCTAGACCTCAGTTATCGTGAAAAAAGCCAGGAAATTTCAGTTTTGACAATATGGGACCTTTAAATGATGCAATATATGAGATAGAGACATAGGTATAATGATACAGGTATATTTATAGATATAATAATTCACAGCACAGTTGTTATCATGCTTATTACTTCTTTAAAATGTATTATATAATACATGTGCATCCAACAATCAATTTATAATCCTCCTCAGAGAGTCTGTAGCTGCCATTGCTACATGGATACCGTCTAAAAGAGTTTATGCAGACTTTGATTCCTGCTGGTTTTGCATCCACAAGCTTAAGGCATGACTTATCACTATACAGCATTACAAATGAACATTGGAATCCTGTCAATATCCACAGTGCAGCTGGAAAAATGACAGTTTACAACGATCAGATACACACATTTTCAATTCATGGATTAACAGAAGAATAATATTGATTTACAAAGGGAACACTGCTTACCTGTATGTCCATGGAGACATCCATGTTTTGCTGATACCATAATTTAAAATGGGGATTTTGAGATTTTTTGCAACACTTTGAAGTTCAGCTGCGGTGCAGTTGCATGTAGAGCACTGGTTATGATTGGCGCTGGACAGTCCTGCTTTTCATTTTTCATCAATTCATTTTTTATAACCTCCAACATTTGTAATGAGCCTATAAATTAGTAAAAAATATATATACCTGTATATATATATATCCACCTTACTCTTTAACGTGTTCATTTACCGCTGTAGGGAAATAACGAAAAGAATAACAAAGTGCGGTAAACGGTAAAACTTTAATGAATATACATTAAAATAATATGGTAAGACACACCAATTTGCAATATCAAGCGGCAAAATGAGCTGTTAGCTGGAAGCGGATGAGACCGGAAGCCAGACTCATAAAAATTACTAATGGCCACACCCACTCTTACAGGAAAAATAAGGTGGATTGTAAAAATTTGTAATATATTAAAATTTTATTATATTATATTTATTATATTATATTAAAAATATTAGTATAAATATATATATAGTATATATATATATATATATTTTTATATATATATATATATAGTATCTATAAAAGTAAATAAAGGCAGTAAACCTATATTGTCTATACTTCTCACCTATCAGTCTAAATAATATACCAACATTTGTAATGAGACAATGACGTGAAATAGAAAGTGCATAAAAACATAAATACATTATTGTTAAATATATAGAACTATAATGATAATAATATCAACTTAAGTAATAGTATCTTTGTTCATTTAAAAATATGAGTTCTGATGTACAAAGAAAGACACAAAAGTGTAAGAAGAGCCAGTGAGTCAAATGTGTCTCAAGTAATAATCATCAGGTAACTCACCAGCAATACAGACATCATTCTGAGATCAGCTTAGATCTCGTCCCACAGTCGTAAT